GCATTCCTTTCCAGACACAAGTGACCTGAACAAACGTGGAGATTAAAAAAAAGAGATTAGCCCTGTTAGACAAAGTGGTAGATTAGAAACCACTTACTGCAGACTGCGGGCGTTCTGCTCGGGAAACGAAACGGGGCAGACATCGACCGGCAGACCACCATACAACCTGGAGAAACAACGTAGAAACAACTGCTTTCGGAAAAATAAATCATTTTACGATACAGTAACCGGTTCCTAACAGCAGAAACGTTTTAAAACTGCTAGCACAACAGGATCACAACCCAGAGAATTTCTGCTCATGCAAGCGGCTCATAATAATGGTTACACACAGCTCCTATTTTGCAAGACCGTTCTAAAAGAACTGTGGAAATCTTTAATGCTTGAAAGATCTTCTCGGTGTCTTGGAGCAATAAAGTGATGCCAACACGCAGTGAAACCCTGATTTGGTACAGTTGTGCGTCATTATATTAGTGCATTAATGACTGGATATCGCCAAAGATAATTAAAAGTGCTCAAATCACTTAAAGCAGATTATGATCATTAGATCTTGAAAGCTTCACATCCTGAATTTTGTAGGAATCCAAACAGAGTTCAGATGGTAAAGTGTGGTTCATGTGCGCAACACACAACGAAGAATCGATACGGAAACTCCTGACTCTTTTGTCTGATCCGACTGCGAAGGATGTGAAGAAGAGATTGGCGTTTGGTCAATTGTACGGCATGTTCGACCACTTGTCGTTCCCCCTGGCGCAGGCCGGCTACACGGTCTACAAATACGTGCCCTTCGGTCCGCTAGAGCTGACCTTGCCATATTTGGTAAGAAGGGCGCAGGAAAACAGCAGTACCTTCCACGACTGCAAACATCAAATAGGAATGATGCGACAAGAAATAGCTCGCAGACGGAGCCGTAAAAAGTAAGATACTGTTTCTTTAGACTCATATCCTCCGTATAACAACGCCTAAGCTTTTTTACAGGGAATGCTGAAATGCCGATGAAAACCCGTTGCCTCAACAATCGAATATCATCGAACAAAATCCAGCATCGTGCCAACAGCCAAACACACCTATGTTCAAACTGCATACTTCTCACTTTGCCATACTGTATAACTCCGCACATATCTTTCTTGAAAAGCTTCTTATCAGTGTTTTTTATCCTTTCCAAAAGTACTTACCATATTAAATGTCGAAATGAAACTGAAAGTCTAAAAAAAACAGTAACAGAATATATTACAGAAAACTGACACGTTATCTCCTTCGAGTTCCACTTTACAGATACACCGCCGTTCGAAAACTAAAATTTTCACTATCAATACAGACGACTTAGCACATTTTTCATGCACACAAACCAACGTTAAAAAAGGTGTTCAAATTTCTGTTCTCTAACTGATCTGTGTCAGTTTAGTCTATGCGATAGTTACATTATTTTCCAAAGCTTCAGTGACTCCATTCTGATTAGAATCGCCATAATCATACTGCAAATTCAACTTATAAACATGAGATCAGGGCTTAGTGATTTTTTATAATTGACACATAAACCAAGGACACCTTGCATGTCATCTAGAACGATTTTTGCACCACATTCGAGGTGAAGGCTCTTTTCTTCCATGCCAAATATTGAATGCAACCGTCTTCTAGGTGTTCCACCGGTGTCCACAAGGAAGTCCTGCAGGCGCAAGGTCATCATTGCGTTTAAAGACATATATATTTTATTTTATTTTATAGCATTCAGCAGCAACCTTAAGTAAGCAGTTCTTAAAGAGCAGTCACTCGGTTTCCACATCAGCAGTCATCACAGGGATTTGTTCAAACCGATGTTGTTTGCAAATTTCGCTTTACCCTTCCGCCGACAGGCTTCCAATCGATAATTCTACCAGAACACCAACACCGGC